GGAACTTGTGCTGCCGTGGCTGCCCATAGCTTCGTAGTGCTGAGACTCAACCCCTTGTGCCACCGGGGAGGCCCGAGGGTACGCTTTCTTCAGGTGCCTGGGATGCCAAAGAAGGGGGGGAGGGGAGCGGCCTGGCGGGGGCGGGGGGGGCGGGGGCGGGGCGGGGGGCGAGATGGGGCGCGGGGGGGGGGGAGGGGGGCGGGAGTGACAGATTGTGGTCCTCTCCGGGAGTGTGCACGTGGAGCATGTTTCATGCATGTGGCGTGGATGCGCACCGTGTCAGTGAGGCAGTGCTCCAAGTTGGCAGCGCGTACATGGCCTGCCCATGCTACTTTCTGTGCCTGTGACATGTATGGGAAGTACTCCTCATATGTCATGTGCACACAGCATGTGGGCGAGCACCCCCAAACAGCCTGTGAATGACTCCTTTCCTTTTTCTTTTCTCCCAGCTCACACAGGAGGGTATAACGACCACGGCCGCCGCCGCCGCCGCCGCCGCCGCCGCCGCCGCCGCCGCCGCCGCCGCCGCGAGAAAGGCCGATCCCCGCCTTGGCCCCGGAGGAAAGCAGGCCGTGATGCCAAGCCCGGGATCGGCGGGGGGCGGGGGCGGGGGGGGGGGGTGGGGAGGTGGAGGGAGCCACCTGTGAAGAGAAACACCTGCATTGCTAGTCGCTCTCGCTCTCGCTCTCTCCCTCTCCCCCCTCCCCCCTCTCTCCCCCCTCCTTCCCCTCCCCTCCCCTCCCCCCCCTCAGTCAGTCACAGGCGGCCTGTGGCACCTTACCAGGGCAGAGAAGGCATTCATTCACAATCGCTTTGGGAGAGGTTTGTTCCTTCCAGGGACTGTTGACTGCTGTGAATTTCATTCTCCCTAGGGCTGGCGCCTAAGGACTTTTTTCCGCTATACTGGGGGAAAAAAATTACACTGGGTTGATTGGGAAGGACACCGGTGATTGCTCAACAATGGCCCTCCATCTCCCTGCCCCCACCTGGTCTGTGCCTCCCCTCCGGAGACTTGACTTTTCCATACGTAGATATAGCTTGTTTCACCATGGTGTCGGTGTTCATCACTCCAACCCTTACCTCCACCTTCTGGCCTTGGGTGAGCCATTTTCTGGCCTTGTGATGCCCCCTTCCCCCAATTTTCTACTCTCAGCCTCCATCGCCAGAAATATGCTTTCCACTTGACATTGACTTAATTCCTGGTGCTCCCCGCCCGCCCGCCTGCCAGCCAGTTGAAAAAAAGTCAGGGTATCTCACAATGTTAGCCGGTTAATCTTGTTCCCCCGCTCAGAGTTTTAAGGTGGGGACATTGACCAGACTGCTACTAACAGATATTGACGGTGAAGAGGTAGGTCAGTGCACCCAGGAAACACTTGGAGCTGACGTACCCGGATGGGGAGAAGGGCAGATACCTCGCAACCTGCAGGCAGGCTGATTGGGGGGTGGGGCGGTGGGGCGGTGGGCCGCGGGCCGCGGGCCGGGGGAGTGGGGGGGCGGGTCATATCATAGATGGCGGCGGTGAGTCGAAGTTAAGGTGGAGGGAGGGAGGGCTTAGGGCGTGGCGGCGTCTGGTCCACAGGGGCAAGCAGATCAATCTACATGATAACTTCCTCCCCCTAAAGGAGACAGACTGGCACTACTACCCTGAAACGCTTCCCCCAGCCACCACCCACCCCCACCCCCACCCACCCTACCCCACCCCACCCCACCCCACCCCCGCGGGGCTGTTTGACACCATGGCAATACCCCACAGAAGAGGAGGGGGCGTGGCTTAGAAACTGCTGCCAAATAGGGGCCCCTGGTGTGTGGCGCCTGCGCACTGTACCTACCCTACCAAGCCAGGGAGTGAGCAGTTTCTGAACCCTGTTGTGAGACTGGAGGCCGCCCCCCCCCCCCCCCCATCCATCCTCCTTCGCACTTGCTCTTCCAAAGGACTCTGCACAGCCCTCTCGGACGCCGCCCCCACCCCCACCCCCGGCTGGGTGTTCCGAATGTTATTCTGTCTCCAACTCCAAATAAAGTTGATCTCGGTTTCTGTGAGACCTTTGGCTGCGAATTCCTCTCATGCTGATGTCAAGGGGTGAGGAACTCCCAAATCCAGGAGCCCCAAAACCCGACACCGCTACCGCCAGTGGCGACGAAGTGTTCTCCCCTCCTGGTTTCAGAAAGAGCACGATCATATCAGACACCCTCACGTTGCACTTCTGGCCATAAGAGAAAAAGTGCCTGCCTGCCTGCCTGCCTGCCTCCCCACCCATCTGGACCCTTCTCCCATGCAGAGGGGAAGGGGGCGGGGGAGGGGGAGGAGAGGGGAAGGGAGAGGGTTTATATTATATTAGATGGCCTCCTTGGTAGTTTTTGGAAAGTGTCTGATTTCTCACCCTGACACCTGTGATCCATCATCACTTGCCCTGGTAGGATACCTTTTGTGCCCACTATGTATGTGAAAACGAGACAGAAAACATGACAGCACTTCCAGAAACTGTCAGCTGACCGACCGACCGGCCGACCACCCGCCGCCGGTCAGTCTCTTAACAGCTCATGGGTTGTGCCAAACACTGAGAAAAAGAAAGCCCAGATTTTCATTTTCAGTCCGTTCATTCCGTTCGTTCATTTTGGCTTTCATAGCCATAGCGGTTTTTTTTTTTTTTTTTTTTTTTTTTTTTTTTTTTTCAGGATGGATGGATGGATGGATGGATGGATGGATTGACTGATTTCATACCTACCTACCTACCTACCTACCTACCTACCTACCTACCTACCTACCTACCTACCAACCAACCAACATACATACAAGAACCGGGATACAGGCCACATGCGCAGGAGGGTGAGAGGATTTACCGGAGACAGAGCAGGGAACAGAACAGGCAGAATGACGAAATGAATGCACTGCTGAAGGGGAGCAGCGGGCGAGACAGGAGAGGTCTGTCTGCTGCGCCATGTGGGACCCTCACCCAGGCTTGTCCGGGATCGAACCGGCGCTGCAGAGGCTGGCTGCAGACAGCTCCACAGCGCAGTGCTCAACCGTTGCCTGCGCCATCGGGGGAAGGCCTACTCATAGAGATTTTTTTTTTTAAATGATGTTACTTATTTTTATATATTTTACATCATTGATCACTTTTGTACACTGTGTCCTTTCCTTTCTCCTCTCAGGTGTAATAGTCCCCATCGAATTCCCACTGTCAATTCACTCGTGCACCATCGCCATAGTCCCCTGTGGGCTTCCTTCCCCTGATTTGGGTTGACCCCTCTCCCTCCCCTTCTCACCTGCAAAAAAACTGCCTGGGATTTAGGGTTTTTATGTTTGTTTGTTTGTTTGTTTGTTTAAAATCATTGTTGTCTCCCCCCCCCCCCCCCCCCCCCGCAATCCAAGCCTTATTGGGTTCCCCTATACACCTCCTATAATTTTTCTCTTTCCTTCTGACTTATTTATTTCACTGAGCATAATCCCTTCTGGCTCCATCCATGTTGCTGCGAATGGCACGAGCTTAGCTTTTTGGATTGCCTGCTGGGCAGTGTTCCATTTTGTCCGTACACCTACACCACCACCTCTTTTTGATTCAGCCAT